CAAGTTGATGCAGCAGAAGGTACTGAAAGTTTGGCGTCGATACGTCAAGCAGTTTGGATGTTATTGCAGAAAAACGGGAGGGGGCTATGATAACCCCCCCCCCCAGTGGGGCGCGAGTTAACCATCGCCAGCCCTATCGGTTTTCAACATACGCCACAGCCGAGGGGATGGGCCGAGGGGATGGGTAGGAGTGAATACGAGTATCAATATTACTAATATCGAGTACGATACCGCCTCCCCCTTCGCCATTTCGCCCCTAATTGAGCTAGAGCCTTGGGCAAAAAAAAATCGAGTGCGCCGTTACAAGACGCTGCAACTGGCGACTGGTACACGATATAAGGTCTCATATCAACTGTGACCTTTGAGGTCAGGTTAAGTGCTCTGAGGCACATGTACGGTTGTCGGTAAATAACGTCGCCAAAATTTCTCATAGAACCGCAATTTAGGCACTATCGTGTTTCTTCAAGTTCATGCGCTTCAAATGACATAATTTTTGTTTTAGTGAGGTCACCCCGCGCCCCGTAGGGGGGGGGGGGCGAAACGCCCCCCCTGTCCTTTTCCGTCGATATCTCCTAAACGGCTGGAGATATCGCCCCAAACTTTCAGGACCCCTCCGGGCATCAGTTTTACACATTGTGACCAAAAATTTTTCCAGAGGCTATGATAGGTTGCCCACAAATGACGTCAGAATGACGTCATGTTCTGCCATTTTCGACCGAAAAAAGACCTTCGCGAGAAGAGCTGTTAGGCCTACAGCTTTGAAGATACCTACAGAAAAATGATCAGACAAAAAGGTGTAAAATTGACAGGGCTACAAAACTGCTATCTCGGATTTTTGAAATTTTCGAGTTGTGACCCCCAAAAATCAAACAAGCAATTTTTTGGATATATTAGCCAAAAAATCCAAAAAGTTTTTTTGAGTTTCGTAAAAACCGGAATATATGTGATAGTATCTACCGTCTTCTATCCACATACCAAATTTCAGATCGATATCTCGTTTTTTTGGCCAAGATATAGCGAAAAAACTGTTCAAAAATGATGACGTCAAATTTTCAAACTCAATTTTTGGCAATTCTAGACCCCGTATGGCAAAACAAAGACCACCATTGAACTCCGCGTGACGAGCTGCATCGAATCGATACCCATTTTATGCAAAAATGTCAACTTTAAAATTTGACCTAATTTGACCTGACCTTGACCTGACCTTCACCAAAACGTGACCTGGGCTGGCCCCAAAGGCTGCCTGACCCACATAATCGCATTTGTCATGTAAAATGGACCATAAGACATGTATCACACGACACTTTCATATTGTGACCCCCGGTCACCTGACCTCGCTGTGACCTGACCTGGTATCAGTGACCTCAGATAGCGAAGTATGTGTTTGACGAACAATGCACTATCGATGGTTTTCAATAAATTACCAATTTACTCGATTTCACAACACATTTCTTGAAATGCCTGTGAACGGTGAAAATCCGATCTTTGACCTGACCTGTGACGTCATCGGTTTGACCTAGGTCAATGAAATTTGGTCACAAGGTAGTTCCCTGGTGGGGCTATCGAACGCCGTTTGAATTTTGAAAATTGGCCGGTAAATTTCCGAGATCTTAGGGGTGGGGGGCCGAAACGCCCGCCCCCCCCCCCCCCCCCCAACGGGTGGTAGTGTCCGCCGGTAGCCCTAACGGGGCGCGGGTTAAGATGTCAACCTCAGGTCAAGGTTAGGTCAGAACTGGTCATGTCATGAAGCTGGTCGAAGGACGTCATATTGCATATGTATAAATCAATTTGGCAGGTCTTCCCGGGTTCATTCGGTGCCTTCCCAGCCAGCAATTTGGTCTGGCTCAAGTCCGTTTTGTCCCGGCAACTCCGACCTGCCAGATTAGGGTCGGTGTAAATGGAAGGCCGTCTGAACAGGGATTTGGGCGGGTATGGCTCTATTCCGACTACCCAGTCTCTGCCGTAGAGTTGGCATGGTTTTGGAACGCCAAGTCCGAATCAAGTCCGTCTGCCCGCCACGGCTTGTTACGGCCAAGTCCGCCGGCTGTCTCGTAGCTGCTCTGGCTTACTGCGGCTGGAGCACGGTTGAGGTACGGCACAGCTGATGCCGCTTACGTCTGGCTGTGGTGCGGGTTAGCTCCGGTATCGTGTGTCAGCTCCAGTACAGCCCCAGATTTTGCCCGTACCTCGGCCGGAGTAAGATGTCGGAGCTAGCCAGAGTCAAACCAGAAACGGCCCACACTTATTTTGCTGGCTGGGTTCCTGACTCGCTAATTGCTCAATGTGACCGAGTTATGGACGAAAGCTCTTACGACCTTAGTGACGTCATAAATTACGTCACGCAAGGTTAACGATGCATAAATGAAACATAAGACCTGGCAAGGAGTGCATAAAATACAGTTGGTGTCAAAAGATCTGGCTTGAGCTTCAAGTGTCAGGTGTGTCAAATTTCATCTCTTTCGAAAGCGTGCTTTGAGCTATCGCGAAAAACAAGGACATGGGCAGTGGGCACCTCTTCGGCCAGCGAGGTATAAGTGGATGACTACATATTAGCGGCCCTAGATGTCAGATAAGCATCGTGTCACCCATTGTAGTTGCCGTCAGGGGAGATGTTTATAACAAGCAAAATGTATGACAGATGTATATTTTCACGTTCGCGACCACACACATCATGACAATAGTGTTTAACCCGCGCCCCACTGGGGGGGGGGCTATTTATAGCCCCCCCTCCCGTTTTTCTGCAATAACTTCCAAACCGCTTGACGGATCGACGCCAAACTTACAGTACCTTTGGCTGCATCAATTTGACACCTTGTGTCAAAATTTGAACTTCGTAGCTGCCATAGGTCGGCCGGAAATGACGTCAGAGTGACGTCATGTTCGGCCGATTTCGACGCAAAACATTGAACCACGGCAATCGCTCCCAAGAGCTCAGTTTTTAAGCTAGATCCAATTTCTTTGCATGAAAGGACTCAGAATTGACCGCGCTATCAAACTGCTATCTCGAATTTTCAAAATTTTGAAAATTTCGAAAATTTGATATAATAATATTAAAAATATGTATTTTTATATTTTTTTCAAAAAGTTTTTGACTTTTCGAAAAAACCAGAATATATGTGACAGAACGCTTGATTATGACTAACTCTAGCAAGTTTTAGCTAAATATCTTCAAAAATGGCCAAGTTATACGCATTATTGCAAAAAATTCACAATTATTAATTTTTCAAATCAATTTTTCAGTACGTATTTGACATCGTACACCAATATAAATGGCACCATCGTGTTCCTGAGCTCAAACTGCATCCAATAGACACCTTTTTTGTTGAAAAATTTTAACCTCAAAATTTGACCTTTTTTGACCTGAAAGTGACCTGACCTAAGCTAAATTCGACTCAAAATGACCTCGAATGACACAGACGACATCAAATTCGAAATCTATGGCCTAAATGGACCATAAAACATGTGTCACGTGACCGACGCATGATAAAATATTTTCGTGACCTATGATGACCTGACCTTGACCTGAAAATCAAAGTAAAAGCTTTGTACCCTCAGGGTATCTAGAGCATCTGTTTAAGAGTGTGTGTACCAAAAATGAGCCTGATCTGACTTGTAAGACGGCGGCCAGAGCCCAAAATGTGAACAAGCTAAAATACTAATAATTTTTACTTTGACCTGACCTGTGACGTCATCGGTGACCTCGAGGTCAATGAAATTAGGTTTCGCGCGACAGTTTTTCCGGGGCTATCAGACGCCGTTTGAATTTTGACGATCGGCCCAGTAGTTTCGGAGTTAGGAGGGGGGGCTATGAATAGCCCCCCCCCCCCAGTAGGGCGTGTTATACACAGACCCCAGTGGGGCGCGGGTTAAATATGATCTAATTTAGACGAAAAATAAACAGGAATTTCGAAAGACATAGACCTAGTGTCAGTGATAGCGTCCAAGCGTCAGGGTCAAGTTTGGAGCGCATGTAGCGTGAATGAACGCAAGAAAGCTTTACCTCGAAAATACCATATGGACTATATTGGTCAAACAAATATGCGATAAACTTACTTCTCAGGGCTTACTAACATACAATCAACAGGACTATCTCTATACACAGGGATGCTCAACGACCAACAACACACAGACTAGTCTAGCACACACACAGAAAAGAACTGTTATAACATCGAACATTTTCGGCAGCTATACGCAACACCTGTGTAAGATGTCTGTTGCTCTCGCCTTTGCTCATCTGAGGGATGAGCTGCTGGCTGCAGCTTTCTACAGTGTTATACATGACAAATTGCAATCTTCCTTGCACTCGTACGTAACATGCCATTCACAGCCGAATCAAAATAAATAAACGGCGATCCCGTTAACGACACATATCTACACAGAACTACCTGTCACACTTGGCAGCATTCGTAGGATTTCGCAGTTATTTCTGAGTGGCCAATAGGGGGATATATTGTATCGAGAGTACATGAACTTCCAGGCTCCACAAATCAAACTATTAAAACAGTTACATTAAAGGCGTAACTGTTTAATGTAACTGTTTTAATAGTTTGATTTGTGGAGCCTGGAAGTTCATGTACTCTAGATACAATAATTGTCCATTTATAACTACAAGGGGGATATATACTGTATAGGCTAATAGTCAACAATATGTAGGCCATGGTGTGTGCCTATATTGATCTATTTAGGCCTTCTATTGAGGTGCTACTACGACGTGTTCCTTTGATAACAGAAAATAGGCAGTGTCTGCCCCCTTACGGTATAACCTATGTAGATGCCATATAATCCGTTAGCACAAACTACATATACATTATACGTGGATACCTTTCACGCCCTCTTACCATGCCATTGGCTTTATGCATCGCACATAGCACACACACACGACATCAATCTAAAAAATAAATCTCAGTTCATTGGCTGCCCTCGAAACAGAACGATACACCATTATATCATTAACATGACACATCGATAAATGTAGGTATCAGTAGCTGTGGGGTGGCGGGGTGAGGTCCTTCCAAGCTCAGTTTACCGCCAGTCTCAGGCTGCATCGCCACCAGTATTCGCCTGGCTCCCGGCTGCGTGCTGCAGAGGCCTGCGGCTCTCGGCAGTCGGGCTAGGCGCCTCCCCGTTGATTGATTCCCCGATGCGTTGACCGTTCACTGCCGAAAGCAAGGCGCACATGAATCGCTTTCGCTGTGCAATAGAACATGGTGCCATAGTATATGGCAATACGAGGAGAGAAGGAAAAAAACTACGAGAGGAGGAAAAACTACGAGAATATGGATTTAACAGTGCATAAGAACAAGTTGATTTATTTATTTGCATCGTATAGCGCCTCCAACTCATCGCATCATAACTTCTCCACGGCCAGTTCTGTAGGCCGTTCTAATCCTTACCCCGCCGCAGAGCTCTTGTGACCAGGTTGCCAGCTCCACCGGCCTTCTTGGGCGTCTGGTTGGTGCCGTTACTGGTGCCGTTGGTGCCGTTGGTGCCGTTTGGTCGGGGAGACACGGCCGGGGCGGCCACCGATGTCTCCACTGTGTGTCCACCGTGCGCCCTCGAGGTATGTGCCGCCGAGGTGGTGGTCAGGTCGTGCTCCGTGAGACCCATACGGTTCTGGAGCAGAGTCGAGCGGTCAGCGTGACACGGGAAAATGCAGATTTGATCAATCAATGCAGCTAAATTCTACAGAAAGTACCTATGTGAAATAATTGATTTATGTTACTTGTGATAAATGTGACGCAAAAGCTAAAGAGAAGAATATCATTACAATATATGTTCGCGCTAATATAATTTTGAATGAGACAGAAAACACCACTAGTCAGCTGAAGAAATTTCACTTGAGCCCCCTTCCTTACCGTTGTCTTCCACACGAAACGTTGCGCTTCTGTTCGGTTCTTGTCATTCAGCCAGACGTGGAAAAGGAAGATAAAGAACCCTTGCAGGGAGTTCAAAATTGTGAATATGACAGAGAAAGCCAGCAGCCCTGGAAGAAAAATAATCTGTTAAAAAACGTTCAAAAATACTGTTGTTCGAAAACAAAAATGAGCAGATCATCCCACAACAGTGTGTTAAAAAGAAAGAGATGTGTTAAAAGAGCAGCCTGCATAATGCATTTATTGTTTCTGCATTGAGGGAAGGCCTTTTAGGCGCTCCCAAAGAGGCAGGACTAAGCAGTGCACTGACCGTTGGTGAAGTACAGGAATCCAAAGAGCCAGGTGGTGCCCAGGATGGCGACCAGAGAGGCCGAGCCACGGATCCAGGTGGAGGCCTGCGGCGGGGCCTTGGTGCTGCGACCCTTGGGGGCGCGTGCCGTCACTCGCAGAGCCATTACCAGAGCGCATATGTTCACCTGGAAACACACAAGAGTGTGAGGAGAAACTACCGAAGCGTGTGACTCATGCACCAACATTATTGTTTACTTTTTCTATTCTTATTTCTTATGTACTGTCCGAGAAGTGGCTTGAAATGATAAATGGATTTAAAATTGTGGCCAAGTAGAACATCAGTGACAAAAACACATGTGAACATGTAAAAATGGAATATTTGATAATCATTTAAATAGGCCATTGACGTGAATGGCCGTATCTAAAAACTTGGGAGAGTAGTGAGACAGCCAGTTTCACACTTACCAAAACGACGAAGAGGAGAGGACCGGCAAATGCCCAGATGAGTCCATTATCGGTGCTCAGCCAGCATCTGCAAAATGAGAGGCACGCTGCAGATCAATGACTCTTTGCAAGTGAACACACGAAATGATTCTGTCGGAGTGACTCACGGTATATAGATAACTGAAGCAAATTATGACAGCTATTCAATTACAGCAATTTAATTAGAACACACAAATAAGCCTTGAAGTCGACTCACGCTGTCTCGGAGCCGTAGCCTTCTCCTTTCGTGACTGACACCGATATGGTTACAATGAGTGCCGGAATGCCATAGCCGCAGGCATAAAAGTAGCGCATGTGCGACTTTCTCGAAGCAAATACCTGTGGGGAAGAACAGAAAAAAACGTTACATTTGTTTGCCGCGGTATTCACTTTCTTAACACTTCAAAAACATTCCACTATTAGGGATAATCCTCTCAATTACATATCACACTAATTTTACGTATTACCTACGTGCTACTTTACAAAACATGCGCGTTGGGTCGGCGTTAGTAATGGCGGTGGGTGTATCAGTCGACAAGTTATAGGTAGTAGGTACTCACTTTGTAAACCATCAGATAAATCTGAACTCCTTCAATGCACATCCAGGCGAACGCAGCCAGGAAAAAGAAATGCAACAGACCGGCAACGATAGCACAGCCCGTCGGGTTACCGTGGGGCTGCAAACCTACGAAACGGAGAAAATTTGTCAGAAATATGACGTCACATGCACTCAGTCATGAAAAGTACACGATTATTTGTCATCAACTTATCCGGCAACCGAGCAGAGACTTTGTATGAAAAGCTAATGCAAGAAAATGCATAAAGACGCAATGGCTGACAGAGAACTTTTGGCGTGAATCTGTAAACGTTACTTACAAGGTGAATAACGACCATCATCCAATGGACATGCCACTCGTTTTACGCCTGCCTGCCCTCCAAATCCCTTGATAACCTACCGGCGAGGAGTATAAACTCGGCGGTGAAGAGGCAGAAGCAGAGGTTGCGGTGGACCGAGGTCCGCTCGCTCCTCAGCGTCGGGATGACAGTGAAGACCAGCAGACAGATGGCCAGGCTGATGAGGCTGATGACGCAGCCGATGGTGGTGAGCCAGCTGAGCGCCAGGTCCAGAGCCTGCCGGACAATCGTTCAGAGAGTCAACGACTGACGGAATTGGATGAAAGGTTCAGGAGGTGGACAGCAGGACGAGCAACAGTGAATAGACTGACGGACAGACCGACAAAAGGGTCGCCGAAAGCATCATAACCTAACCTAACCTTCAAAATCCCACATTCATTACATTTATACGACAGAAAGATCGAGTTCGCCAGACTGGCCGAAGAACCGACAGGGGGGTCGATGGCCCGATCGACTAACATACCGACTTTAGGACTGGCGGACAAGCCAACTGGTCACCAAAAATCTCAGGAAATGTGCCTATGAGTGGTGGACAGGAGAGTCCGAGGGTCTGCGAGTAACGCACGGACTGGCTAGAAAATCAGAAACAACGTTTGAAAGGCCATTTGTTCAGGACTTTTGAAGGACGTTAACTCACCGAGCCCTCCTCAATGACGCCGTTAATATCCATCAGTGTGGCGAAACTGGTGAGATGGTTACACAGACACTCCACCGATTCGTTTGTTATTCTTCCCAAAGTGCAGCCGTCGTCAGCCCACTGGTGAAATGAGACGAATGTTTTCGGTTATATTAGTCAAACACATTTTATTTATGAAGGTCCGACAGTCAAAGTACAAAAAAATGATTAAGCTTCAGATCTTTGCAATACCAGCGACAGTTCAGTATTGTATCCCAATAAGGAAGTTTTAAGGTTACAAATACGTCACCAATGATAATAGGTAAACCAGCGCCATTATTGATTCCGTCCAGCCCAAAACATTTGCTTATTTTTAGCGAGCAGGAAGACCAACGTTTCCGACCCACCTGTTCTGTTTTCTCGTTCCAGTAGGCGCACAGGTAGTTTGAGACGTTGAAGCTGGCGGCCGAGAGGCGAGTTTTGAAGGTGAGCGTCACGTTGGAGTTTTCGAACGTTACGGAGGTGTTGCCGACGCTGGCGCTGACCACCGGCGAGTTCACGAACCGCTCGTACTGCAGGTCGGTCCGCTGACGCAACTCATCAGGGGTGCTGCAAGAAAAAAGAAAAACTCAGCTCACAAAATGGCAACATTTAGATACTCGTGTGTGTTTTGTAGGGCCTGCTGGATTGGACGCCTTCCGTACTAGTCTTGTCATGGTGATTGGCGTTTTTTTTTTTTTCAACAGTATGCCATTCAGTTACTTTGCTACACCCGAGAGACTACACAGCATAGTAAACCGGTCGTAGATGTAAGTCGACGATAATGATGGGCTGCCTATAAACATGCTCGTAAAATTTTTCTGCTAGATGACACTGATATGAACATTAAGAACATAGTAAAGGGCCGAAACAATTCCCTTGAGGCCTTTGCTCATCGTAAAACAACATAGCAGCTTGTGCTACTAAACGGTTGCTATGTAAAAACTAAACTTTAGTGCTAAAAGCACATATTTTAAAATGTCTCCTATAATATTTCAGAGCGGGTTCGGGTTTCGTGTAAAACACCGAAAGTTTTGTGTGTTTAGATATACATTTGACGTGTTATTGTTATCATGTATCCTTTCTAGAGTGTGTTATGACATTTTCAAATACGTTCCGCGTACATATCACGAGACGGAATCATTCTAAACCGATATCAAAATACATAGATATTTACAATATTTAGGTAAATTGAGAGCCGGAGCAAAAGGTGACCACAAACATCGATGATCGATCGCTATCAGCTTAGAGCTATAATAGATATATTTTCTAACCTGCACTTCTCTGCGCCAAGCAGGCAGTCCAGGTTGCCGTACTCGACGAAGACGATGGTGGTGCTGCCGCTATCGTTGAACCTACCGACCTCGTCCGGCAGCGTCACAGTGGACCCTTGCTGTGTGCGGTACTCGAGGTTACCCTTCAGCGAGCTGTACCGACCCGTGCGAAGACCTGTCAGACAGAGCAGCTGGTCACGTCGACTCCCGTTACATACTACAAGGACTGCTAAACATATTTTTGCTTACATAGGGGATTGTGATTGATTGAATGATTTGAATGCTAACTATTCCATTGATCTCTGTTACTATCACGTATCGTGCATTTGATAAACATGACAGGTGTTTTGACATTACGTAGCATCCCACCACGACATTTTATAGGTAAAGCGCAATGCCAAAAGGAGTGCAATATTTCTTGGTAAAGCGGAACAACAGGACTTAACGGCTAACGCATCTACTTCAGCTTCATCAGACATTCTACCACATCACCCAGTGGCCAGTACCCACTCATCCACCAGATCTGCGGCAGGCACTCACGGATGGTGCTCTCGCTGAAGTCCTCGTGCTGGTTGTCCAGGTAGGATGCCAGCAGGTAGGCCGACTGTTCCACGTTTCGCTGCAGGACCGTGGACGTATCGAAACGCTCAGTCTCGGACATGCCGTGCCAAGACGTCTCGCCGCTCGTCAGGCCGCCGACAAGACTGGTTACGCTACCCAGATACCTGCCAAGTTCGATGTGAATTGTGATGAACGGTCACGCTTCCTGGCGTGTCGGGATAAACGGGCTGTTTAGAGCTGTGCGGTACAGTATAACTATCAGGCGCTAGACGTGGCTGCCATCTAGTGAGAGGAATATGAAACAGCAACAGAGCACACAACGTCTCGCTCACATTTCGCACTTGTGTAGCTTTTAGCAATCTCAGAACATTTTTTTAACTGTGAATAGTCGAGTCGACACATCAAAGAAATTCAGAATTAGAATTATTAGCGCCATATCTATATCGATATTAGCTATAAATATGATGATAAATATAACCAAGAACTCACTGTTTAGCGACAGTCTGCTGGTCGGCCTGTCCGCTGAGCTGGGCCTGCTGAGCGGACACCATCTGTGGCAGCAGCTGCACAGAGTTGATGACGTCACCTGACGTCAGCGGCTTGTTCTGTGACGTCTGCCTGGTGACGTTGGTTGCCAGGTCGGAGACGATGTCCGAGACAGGCTCTGTGCCCTTGTCCAGACGCTTTTTGGCATCGTCGGTGTTGATGTTGTCCGAGCGGCAGCCACTGTGGAATCAGTAAGACAGGGGCATGTCATGGACCAGCAAGTGAACATTATGCATAAGTTGCTTTTTAAGATAGTGAGTGACAATTGATTAAGCGTTTCTAGCGTCAAGTAAGCTACTTTAGTCTTGAATTGTTTATGTATACGTGCAGCTGCAGGATCACATAAAAACAAAATTTTAGGTTATTGCTCTTGCCTCGGCTTCCGTGTTTCCAATACGGAATAGGTACCTTACCTTATCTACCTACCACAGGCGCAGTGTCAGAAGCGTATACTCACGAGAGGTCGGGGTACTGCGAGCTCCACTGTCCGTCCACGCCGCACAGGTAGCTGGCAGAGCCCGTGTAGCCCGCGCCGCACGGCTGGGTCACCGTTTTCCCGCCCGCTGTCTCGGGAAACGTCAGGCCGTAGTCGTCAAACCGCACCGGGGGACACTGGGGAGCCGGCTGGCCCGGCCACGGCGGCAGGGCACACACTGTGTACAGCTGCTGTTCCTTGCCGACGCCGCACGTCTTTTCCGAGCCGGTTTTCAGGGAGAGACACGGATACGGCTTGCTGGGCATGTGATTCATGTCCACCACCGGTCTCGGTTCCTCGGCGTCGGCAGTGCCCATCAGCCAGATATCCTCATTACTGGAGAGACCTGCGTCGGCAGCCAGCTTTTTGAGTAGGCTCAAATACCCCGGGTAGTCGGCGCTGTCGAGACTGTAGATTATATCACCTCCCATATCTCGGCACGTCGTTACCTGGTGTTCAAAGTCGCCTTCTGAGTCGGTGATGCTGTAGCAGGTGCGCGTGTCCCTGTCGTAGGTGCCCCCGTGGCGACAGAAGCTGACGTCGCTAGACTGACTGTCGTCACGGTAGCGAAGGTAGAGCCGCATCGATACGTCTAATCCGCCGTCCTCGTCATAGTGACAGGCATCAGTGAAGTAGGCAGATAGCAAGTCGATGTTGGGAGTGCATTCTTTCTTTCCCTGACACCTGTGTCAGAAGACACAAACAGACAATTAACGGTCTGCAATTCGTGGTTCATAAAATCTGGACGTTGCATAACGATTGCTGATTATGAGTGGGGCATGACATAGGTACATATGATTGATATAGATCGCCTGGAAAAATAAGGAACATGAGCAAAGCATGCATTGAACATTTTAATTCACTTCCATTTTTTTTTTATCTGTCGGTCGGCGAGGAAGTGACTGAACGTGAGCTGAAGGCTAAGAGCCCGAACGGTGAGTAGCATTTTCAAGTCATCATTTCTTAAAGCGCCTGTTCATTTATAATGGACCTGAAAGCTTGCAGCTGACATACGCTCTACGAACCACTGGCGGATCCAGGGGGGGGGGGGCCACGGGGGCCATGGCCCCCCCCCCAAAGGCCTAAAGTGGCCTGTTTGGCCCCCCCCAAAACGTAAGAAAAATTGCTAAGAAAATATACCTTGATGGAGGTTTTTAGCCACTTGGTGAAGTAAAGCTTTCCACAGCATAATATGGAAGCAATATGGTAGCAGTGAGGGTCAGTCAAAAGTTGCGCGAGTGGAGTCGACCTTCAAAAAGGACTTGTTGGCACGTGTTTATGGCGCGGTAGCTGGGAGTTGGCGGTGTTTCGCGTGGTGTGGCATCACTGGCGGATCCGGGGGGGGGGGGGGGGGGGGGGGGCACGGGAGCCTGAGGTGCCCCTGACAGACCCGTGGTGCCCTTGGTAGGTCTGTGGTGCCCCTGGACCCTGGCAGGCCTGTGGTGCCTCTGGCGGGCCTAGGGTGCCCCTGCTAGGCTGCTGATGCCCCTGGGACCTGACAGGACTGTGGTGCCCCTGACAAGCCTAAAGTGCCCCCAACAGGCCCGTGATGCCCCCGACAGGCCCAAGGTGCCCCTGCGTGATGCCGTGATGCCTGCGAGGCCGGTGGTGCCCCTGCGAGGTCGGTGGGGCCCCTGACAGGCCCAAGGTGCCCCTGTAAGGCCTGTGGTACACCTGCTAGGCCTCTGGTGCCCCTGACAGGCCCATGGTGCCCCTGCAAGGCCGGCGGCGCCCCTGGCAGGTCTCTGGTGTCCCTGACAGACCTGGGGTGCCCCTGACAAGCCTAGCCTGTGGGGCCCCTCACAGGCCCGTGGTGCCCTTGTTAGGCCTGTGGTGCCCCTGGCGGGCTGGTAGTGCCCCTGCTAGGCCGGTGGTGCCCCTGACAGGCCCGTGGTGCCCCCGGGCACCAAGGGGGGTCATGACCCATGTGGCCCCCTTGGATCTGCCACTGGTACATATTATATTGATTTGTAATGGCGTTATGGCTTATGCAATATGCAATTGCAGGCACTTGGTATCCCCCACTTATCCCTCATTGGGGGCTCTGGCGGGCTCCTGAGGGCCCACGTCTATCTCCGGGAGCCCTAGACAGGCTCCTTTGGGTCCTTTCAGTCCACTATAGCATAAGAGGTCTCCATGCGAGTCCTATACATCTGAGGACGTACCCTGACGTCTGAGGTACTCAACTGCAGCTCCAATGGTCTCTTACACTGGCGGATCCAGGGAGGGGGCATTTAGGGCCATGCCCCCTTCCCAGAGGCCTAAAGTGGCCCGTTTGCCCCCTCCCCCAAGCGATAATGAAGCACAGTTCAATCAGTGCCTGGCCCAGGAGCCGAGTTAGACCACCTCCCGTTTTACCACCTCCCGGCCCGCAAAGGGACCCAAGCACTGACTCGAAGCGGGTTAACTGGTCGACAAAAGCAATAGTAAGTGTTTACAAAGTAATATAAAGGCATGGGTCGGGTGGGCTACCATTTATATATTTTTATTTTTAGTTAAAAAAAAATATTTATAGTGTCAGGGCTGTGACGAAAAATAAGTGGCCTAAATCCGATGAGAAAACAGGATTTGGGGGTACCCTAGGTTTGGCTCCTGCATAAGTTGGCCCCCCCCCAAAACGCAAGTCTGGATCCGCCAGTGCTACGAACTTCAACCAGCTCAGGTTCGGGACAAATTTCTCACCAGTAGCGTAGGATAGCTTCGCTAGAAGGCACGACACAGCCGTCGGAGTCAGCCGGAAGGGGCACGTCCGGGCTGGGACAGTTAACCGGCGGGCGACTCGTCTCCCATGGGAAGCGACCCATGGCACCAAAGTCCACTATGATTGCTTTTCCAGATGCGCCACCGATTTTCGTGTCCTGGCAGTACTCGAACTCATGTCCGTCGTTCTCTGCAATCAAAAACGAAAATGTGTAATTCGAAATTGTTTATCACCCATGTTCAACCATTTTCCACCTAGGTAAGGAAAGCATAACCCGCACCCTGGTGGGGTAGGGCTATTCCCCCCCCTCCAGACTTTTTGATATATCTCCAGAACCGATGCACCGATCGTCACCAAATTTTCAGTACCCTCCCGAGCATCAATTTTACACATTGTGACCGAAAATTTTTCTAACGGCTATGATGGGTTGGCCGCAAATGACGTCAGAGTGACGTCATGTTCTGACGTTTTCGACCAAAAAAAAAAAGGTTTCACGGGAAGAGCTGTCAGGCCTATAGCTTTGAAGATATAGAAAAACGTCTAAAATATAAAAGGTGTAGAATTGCCAGGGCTACTATACTGCCATCTCCAAATTTTGCAATTTTTGAATTTTGACCCCTAAAAATGAATATAATAGCCAAAAAATCCAAAACGTTTTCGATTTTCGAAAAAACGGAACATATGTCATAGCCCCCACCGCCTTCTATTTAAATACCAACTTTTAGATCGATACCTCTTTTTTTGGTCAAGTTATAGCGAAAAAAGTTGTTCAAAATTGATGACATATTTTCAAACTCAATTTTTAGCACTTCTAGACCACGTAGCGCAAAACAAAGACCATCAATAGACTCGCCGTGACGAGCTGCATCGAATCAATACCCATTTAATGCAAAAATATCAACTTTGAAATTTGACCTTTTTTGACCTGACAATGACCTCACTCCCGCCAGGAAGTGACCCAAACCGTTCCTGATGGTCTAATAACCAACACCATTGAGTTGGGAATGAAAAATTGGCCATAAAATATGCATCGTACAGCCCTAGTAACATTGGGTTCATATGCTGACCCTCGGTGACCTGTGACCTGACCTGGTGTTATCATCAGTGACCTCTAATAGCAACATATGTACTAGGCAACTGATGCCCTATCGTTTATTTTCGATAAAATGCGTTTTACACGATTTTATAGCGCATTTCCTATAAAACCCGTGAACGGCAAAACATTTTATCTTTGACCTGACCTGTGACGTCATCGGTGACCCTGAGGTCAATGAAATTGGAGTTCACTAGACAAATTTGACGGGGCCTTTGAACGCCGTTTGAATTTTGCGGATCCGTCCAGTAGTTTCGGAGATAGGAGGGGCTCAAAAATAGCCCCCCCCCCCCACACACACACACCAGGTCGCGTTATAAACAGACCCCACCAGGGCGCGGGATAACGACTGTATGCAGGAAACACAGAACACTCCCCGTCATGCCGCAATTAAAAAATTGGACCTCTTCTAAGCAATGGAACAATTTGAGTACAAACTAGTGGAAATCTTATATGAGTATCACCAAAAAAAGTTCGACGAAATAAAGCTCGTCGAATTTCCTACAATGGATCGCTGTTCCTTGTCAGCAGGAAACAGAAGCTTGGTCTTAAGTACCAGAGTTTCACAAGGTCAACCGACCACTGACGACTCACCAAGGGCCTTCACGCAGTCGTCGCCTCCGTATCCCTCCTCACAGTGGCAGGTCTCCTCCTCTGGAAAGCTCATAGGACTCGGTGCGCTGGACGGAGGGCTCCGTGGACTCCTCCTCGGCCGATGGGGCGCCGTGTTCAGCGGCTGCCGCTCGCACAGACCGCGGTGCGGCTCCTCGCAGTGTCTCAGCGCCAGCTGACCGGTAGCGGCCGTGGCGGCCGTGCACAGACGGCGCCCGATCAGCGTGCGGCGCTGGCGGCGCCGCCCCACCTGGCCCACGGTGCCGTCCACCCAGGCGTACAGACCGCGCGGCGGCGGCGGCGGCCACACCAGCCGCGTCAGCAGTAGCGACTCCTCGTCACCAACATCGGCGAGTCGCCCACCGAGGCTGCGACACAGCCGGCGGCTGTCCTCGGCGCCCTGCCGGCTGTCGCTCAGGTACAGACAGAGGCCGCGAATCAGCAGGAACGGCGGCGGACACAGCGTCAGAGGCGCCTCCTGCTCGGGCTGGTACACGCCCACCGTGTACTGCAGCTCAGACGGAGTGGACGGGGGAGGGGATGGTTTGGGACCTGCCCGAGACGGATGGGAGGCAGAGGCAGTCTTGGAGTTGGCGCCGGGAGTGGGCGGACTGGCGGTGACAGCGGCGGCGGAGATGGCGGCGGCGGCAGCGGCTGAGGTGACACGGATGGTAGAAGCGATGGTGGTCGTCGTAGTGGCTGCTTCTGTTAGACTGTTTGCTGTGATTGAGCTGGTTGATAAAGACTTTGTCTTTGTCGAGCTGGTATGTGCTGGCCGAGATGATGTGGATGGTGCCTCCTCCGCCGCCTCGGGACGGTACCCTCCTGCGATGGACCTCACGGTGGTAGTGGCGCCACCAGTGGTTGAGAGTTTGGGAGAGGCGGCGCTGCCTTCGCCGACGGAGTTTGGCCGGCTGACGGAGCCCCGTAGTCCGTCGCTCAAATACACAGCATTAGTGATGGATGATAGCATTTCGTAGCAGATTCCCCCATTCTGACAAGGGTTGGTACTGCAGTATTTTGGACTGAAGTCGCCAACCACACCTGCAAAGAAAGATATCCATGCGATGTCAAAATTGGAAAATAAAATCCCTAACGGCTAAAGCTACTTATTTATGCGGGCAGACGAGTGTCGAGTATGAAGGGCATTTTCCAGGGCACATTGGGGCACATTGTAAACTGTCTGCAAACAAATGGCATTGTAGTTTGTTGCGAGGGTACTTTCAGAATGAAAAAGTTAGAAATGCAAATGGGTGTCACAAAATGAGCTTCTATAACTGGCAACTGCAGGCGGCTAGGACGAGAACCGTAGGCATCCCCAGATACTTTGGGTTCAAGCCAAAGTTAATTACATATAAACAAGGGTGGAATATAAATGAACTCGGCTAATTTACTGGAGTTTAAAACCAATCTGCCGGTAAGCCTGGCCGACCTTTACTCGGCGGGGAGGACAAGAGAAGAGCTTGTCGAGATGTGCCGATACCGACGAGATCCGTTTTAACATTAAAGGATGATAGACGTGTTAGGCCAAAGGCAGCGTCTCCATTTGGTAGGTGTATTGGAGCTTCCACAAGCAATAGCGGCAGCAGCAGCAGCACAGCAGCACCCGCGCGTGGCGGCTCCCCGGCTCCGAATGACCGCCGCTCCCGGCTGCGGCCGTGACCCCACGCCGCCGGTGGCAGCGGCGCGCCCAGCGGGAGGCGGCCCGCAGAGGCGCACCCAGCAGCGCGCCGAGAGGGACGCCTCACCCCGGCCACGCAGCGCATAACACAGCCAAACATAACAATACATAACCCAACACATCTCCCCCCTAAATAAATAGCGCCTTAGGCTGTAATTGTACACATGGAGGTGTCACTTCAGCGACAGCATGTTGGTGATGATGTCCACCACGCTGGCGAACCCCGCGCCGTCGGCGTATGCGACGCCGTGTGCGCAGGCGGCGGCGTCGAGAATCGAGCGCCGTCTGCGGTGTCGGAAAACGAGCGCCTTCAACGTGCGAGCATCGCCTCGAACTTCTCGGTGGCCTCCCAGCGACGTATGCCTGTCGGTAACGATCAGTTCAGGGCAAACCATACGGGTGACGATAATAACTAACTCACATACATTTATCAAATTTATGCCTGTTAAGGGAGATCTCACAATCTGGAGACTATTCGAACGACATGAGGACTTTCATAATGTTTTTTTTACGGGTCAGGGTATCTAGCCGGTGGCCTGGAAATCCGTCCATATCGTGTCACGTATGGACGGTTAGCGGGCATGTACGGTTGTTCCGTGACAGTTTCACCAGAACTCCAAACAAAATCAGGGAGCGGGGAACTGCTCTCAGATATAATGTTTGGGTCCTGACTCTGAGTGGTGTGCCCGTCGTCTGTCCGCCGCTCTCGCCGTTGGGGCGTAGCCGCGCGGTCCTCATCGTCATCCCGGCCTCGCAGCTTCACAGGTTTCAGGTGGTCATGGTGTATCCTGATAACCTTCCCACCAGGCATACTGACCTTATACGTGACTCCTTCCTCAGTTGGACCTTGTTTCTCTATCACAGTCCCTGGTCCCTTGTAGTGCAATGCCAGCTTGCGTTTGCCTCCAGGACAAGTGGTGTGGTCCCTCACCCAGACCTTCTGACCCGGCATGTACGGTGTCTCTCGTGCTGACTGGTCGCGGGAATCCTTCATGTTGGCCGCTGCTTGCTCGATTTTTTCACGGACTTCTTCATGTGCATGGCGTAGCTGACGAAGCTTGTGTTCTAGGTAGGTGTCGACCATCGAAACCTCCTGACGTGTTCTGAATAGCTCATCGACGGGAAGGCGAGCTTCACGTCCGTGCACCAGAAAGAAAGGCGTGAAACCGGTCACCGAGTGCCTGGACGTGTTGTAGGCGAATGTGAGGGACGCCAAACGATCGTCCCAGTCGGACCCACATGGCTTGATGTATTTTGATGACATGTCTTTGAGCGTCCGATTGAATCGCTCTACCATTCCGTCGCTTTCTGGCCGATAAGGTGATGTGCGAGTCTTTTCTATGCCCATTCGCTTACAGAGTGATTGGAAGACGGCCGATTCGAACTGTCGGCCTTGGTCGCTGTGGAGGCGCTCCGGTACCCCGTGGTGCAGTACCAAATCGAACATGCACTCGGAAACTGATTCAGCCGTTTGATTTGGCATGGCATATGTGGTCACATACTTGGTAAAATAATCCATAATGACTAGGGCGTATTTGTTTCCACGTGCGGATACTGGCATCTCGGTTATATCGACGGCCACTCTTTCGAATGGTCTCGAGTATGTCTCTGTTTGGATTGGTGCTTGCATTTTTGGCGTTGGTTCGTTCCTCCTCTGACACAATTCGCATGTTTCGCAGTGCTGGTTAACATCCTTGCTCATCCCTGTCCAAAAGAATCTAGCCGCCACTTTTTCCAAAGTGCGCGTCTTTCCCAAATGGCCTGAAGTCTCGTCGTCGTGCAACATCTCCAAAACCACCTTGCGATACGTTTTGGGGAGGAGCGTCACCGAATCGCTGTCGCTGCCCGATCTCTTTAGTTTCATGATGCCCTTATCTATGAACAGCTGGTCGAAAAAACGAGCCATCGTTCGTAGAGAGCTACTCTTTTTCTTGAGCTCCTTCCTTGGGGGTAGCTTCCCCGCTGCCAACCAGTTCTTGACTTCATTCAGGACGGGGTCCAGATCCTGTTCCAGCTCTAGCTTCCCGAGGGTAATTTCTTCCCGAAAGGCTTTGTGGTTGGCGGTTAAGAGCTCGCTGACTCCTGCATCAACTGTTGGATCGGTGAAGTCGGTGACAGGCCTCGACAGAGCATCGGCATTGCCGTTGTCACTACCCTTTCGGTACTCAACGACGAAGTCGTACGTGCTGAGCTCAACGGCCCATCGACCTCTCCTCCCAGTGGCATCGCCGTCAACGTTGATGGATTTCGGGATGTTTTTTAGGGGTTTGTGGTCGGACGTGATGGTGAATTTAGTGGCTGCGAGGTAGTGACGAAAATGTCTGATGGCCCACACGATCGCCCACAGCTCCTTGTCGTACGCTGGCCATCGTCGTTCGCTTTTGTTTAGCACTTTGCTGGCATACGCGACGACTCTCTCTTCGTCATCGACCATCTCTGTGAGAACAGCTCCCACCGCAGTGTTTGAGGCGTCAGTTGCGAGCCTGAACTCCCCTTTAAATGTCGGCAGAGTCAGGATTGGAGGAGACGTCAGCTGTGTCTTGATGTTATCGAAGCTTTCTCTGAGCTCGTCAGTCCACTCGAGGTCACCTTTCTTTTCTGCGGCTTCTCGGATTGGACGCACCAGGTCGGAATAGTTTGGAACGAACCTGGAGTAGTATCCTGCCAGTCCCAGGAAGCTCTTTAGATCTTCTGCTTTTCGCGGTCTAGTCCAATTGCGCACCTTCTCTATGTTGGCTGGGTCTGGTTCGACGCCTCTCCTTCCCACCTTGTGTCCGAGGAACACCACCTCGTCTCGAGCCAAGCAGCACTTCCTTGGCTTTAGCTTCATTCCTGCTGCTCTTATCCTTTGAAATACTTCCTCCAGGTTCTTTAGATGTTCTCGTTCGCTCTCTCCAAACACGATTATGTCGTCGATATAGACGAGGCAGCTCTTGGAGTCCATTCCAGCCAGCACCAGCTCCATCAGCCGCTGGAACGTCGCTCCTGCGTTCTTCAGGCCGAACGGCATCGCTCGGAAGTGGTGGAGACCTTTTCCTGTGCTGAAGGCAGTCTTCTCCCTGTCCTTCTCGGCGACGTCAACCTGCCAGTAACCTGACGCCATGTCGAGAGTTGAGAAAAATTTTGCTTCGGCGAGGCTGTCGAGGCTCTCGTCCACCCTCGGCAAGGGGACTGGCAAGCTTTGTGTGACGGAGTTCACTGCTCGGAGATCGATGCAGAACCTGAAACTGCCGTCTTTCTTTTTCGCCAGGACAATTGGTGAGCACCAAGGGCTGGAACTTTCTTCAATGATCCCTTCTTCAAGCATCTTTTCTTTTTGTCGTTCCACCTCCTCTCTCAGCTTTACTGGGATTCGTCGTGGCCGTTGACGTACTGGCGGTGCATCGCCAGTTTTGATCTGATGTTGAAGGAGAGTCGTTTTTCCGATGTCTGCTTCGCCTTTGCTAAAAACATCACTGAACTCCAGCACTAGCTGCCTTAATGAAGCCTTTCCCGTTTTTGAGAGCACCGCTGACTCCAGTTTGAGCTCCTTCATGAGTTCATCGATCGTCCCCTCGTCGACTGCGGCTGAAGCAACCGATGTGTCTGGAATGTCGTAAATACCTCTCCCATTCTCCTGGATTGAGTACAAAAGTCCTATCTCTGTACCTGGAGGGATCGTGATTGCCTCACTCCCGATGTTTGCGATTTGAACCGGGACCTTGGCTTCGCTCGTCACCGCGGTGACCACGCGAGGGATTCTCCATTCTTGCTCGTTCCCCACGGGCTGTGGCTCGAGCACCCCTTGCCAATTGACTTCCTTGGTGACTTTGACACCACCGTCTGGAATCTCGACGTCGACCTGAACGAGCGTCTGAGACTTTGCCGGTATTGTAACAGGCGAGCATGTTAGTACCCTGGCGCGCTGGGGTCGTAGCTCTGCGTATGTCGGGAGTGGAATCTCCAGGCTGCCGACCCTGAAGACCCCTGCCTTGTCGTCTAGCACTGTTTTGTGCTGGCAGCAGAAGTCTCGGCCGAGAACGACTTGGTAAATCAGACCTGGAATTACCAGCATAGGCTGGATGAATTGCAAAGCCTGTATGGAGAATGACACTTCTGCCTGTGTAGTGACCTGTATTCTCTGCCCACCCGCCTGAGTTATTGCTCCAAAATGCCCTCTGCGGGACGAGTGTTTCGGTACGACCGTCTGGGCGAATTCTTGTCCGATCATTGATGCGTCGGCTCCAGAATCAACCAGGGCCCATACGCTGCGCCCTTCGACTTCGATTTTGATGACAGAAGCGCGCTTGGTGTTTGGTTCTTGCCCCGGCATTGCCGGAGTATTCTCCACAGCGCCAGATATGTCGCGTGCGGGGCTCGAGGG